AACAGAAGGAGTACTTTAAGTAAAACAATACATATTAGCAAAAAATAAAAAAGAAAAAAGAAAAGGAGAAAAACATTTTTTTTTATAAACAACCAACTTAATTAATATTTTTAATTTGTCTGCAAATAAATCATCCCCTACATTGCGAATCTAATGAGTATTTTTCGTGGTTTATTATTAAATTCTTGTTAATCTGCCTCTTAAATTCTTGACGACGTTTGCACGCATGAGGATGACATAAAAAGAAGCAAGCCTACGAACTTTATGAAGATATACCCTTTTTTTAGGGACAAATTAAAAAAAAAAAAACACACCAATATTTCATCACACAAGCACACTCACACTCACACTCACAGAACGAGTTTGAACAAAATGCACCAAAGAGACAATAAAGAGAATTAAGCAGGTGAGAAAACTCAGGGTCTTCTGTTTGTACTTTGTACGCTTCCCTTGAGTATATTCTTTCAATTTGAACACAACACACTTTACTTTTCACTCTTATATTCTTTCAGCACAGTTACAAACCTGAGTAGATACACAAGAAAGGGATAAAAAGTGTAGTACGCTCTATAATTTGAGAACAAAAAAAAAAGAGGTTCTTCTTGAATGAAGTCCGTAACATTCCAATTTCAATAATAATATTATCGCTGATTTTTAATATAAGACTCAATTGATTAATTTAAAAAAATTATTTAATTATAGTATATGTTACGCGATATCTTTGAAATATTTATATATATATATGTGATATATTATATATCAATTTATAAGCCAGACAAATTCGTTTAAAAATAATAATATTAAGTACAATATTTTAAAATGATTTATTTAATTTTTAATCTCTTTAAATTAATTAATAACAGTAAATATTATGTGGTGAATGACGGAATAGTGATGCAAGAAGAAAGTGATTGAGAGGGTTGCTTGACATGAACGTCATAGGATAGGGCAAAGAATTGCATCCCATCATGAACCGAATTGCACGCCACTTTGCCTTCCCAATCATGGCCCCCTCCCTTTTCCTCAAGGAATCCCAAGACCCAAGTCACCCACAGAACATTTCATCAATCTCTTTTCTTTGATAATACCCACTTGAATATATATATACTCCTCCAGTCTTTAATATAGGACCCACTTCTTGAGTTGGTTTTGGTCCTAAATATAAGACTCACTTCTCATATTTATTAATTTTCTCTAAATTACCCCTATGGATACTCCCTCAATCATAATCAAGTAGAAGAATGAGAGGAGGTATTAAAAAAGATGATTATGGTGTTTTAGGAAAAATGTATCACTTCTCTTATAATTAACTAACTTACCTAACTTCCTTAATCTAATCAAATTAGTTAAATGGGCCTTATATTAAGGACCAAAGGAGTATATATATATATTATACCTTACTATTATCGATAATACCATTTTTGGAGTATCAAACACATTAAATGTATCAAACACATAAATCAGTAAAACAAAACCTAGAACTAATAACTTGAAAGACATGCTATTAATATACGCTAAAATAAAATTTATATAAAATTCTGCATATATAGCCTTCCGGAAATCAAAAGCATTAGAATGGTCAAAACATAATAATACTAGTCTATAACTTTAAGATTGGCCAAAAAACAAAGTTTATAACTTTAACACGAACTAGCCAAACGAACTCAGAAAAACCTCCCTGGTCAAAAAAAAAGACTTGGATTCTCTCCACTACCTTCCCATCCTCTTCCCCTCTACTATCATTCTTTTCTCTTCACAACTATTAGATCAAAATTTCAATGATCCAGATTTAACATCTTATAAAAATAATGTTATTAAAAAATAAATAAATAAATTTAAACTGTTAAAATCTGATCTGAACAGTTTACAATTGTAATAAAAAAATTTAAAAAAATTTGCTCTATAATAACAGTCTATAGTTATGAACTGTTCAAATTAGATTTTAACAGTTTAAATTTATTTATCTATTTTTTATCATAATATTTATTTTTATAAAATGTTATAAAATATTAAATCTGGACTATTGGAGTTTTGATCCAATGGTTGTAAAGAGAAAAAAAGGGTAGTGGAGAGAAAGAGGATGGGAAGGGCAGTGTAGAGATTCAATTCCCCAAAAAAAACTCAGAGAAACCTTAAAGTCCTGTAAAACGTAAACATGACATACTCTAGGGACTAGAGTACTATAGCGACATATATAGGGCAATCATAAATGTCCTAACTTATTCCTGTCAGATACCCTAATCTGTATATGCATGTTCTTCTTGTAGTTTGCACGACCCAGGGCCTTTGAATTTGAACTTGTTTGGATTAATTTATAAATAGTTTTTTAAATATAATTTATAAAAAATGAGATAAGTACGTGAAGAAAATTTTGTCTGGACTAATGTAGATTTGTTTAAAAATTCGTTTTGAATGAAACTCTAAACAAAGCTTTTATCTCCCATGTCATAAAAAACAACACAACGTGTTTATCCCCAGTTATGATAGGCTTATGTGTAAGTATAACACACTATGAAATATGACCCTCTATATACTAACAAGCTCAGGAAAAAAAAAATTATGAATAGCCTGGGCCTAATGAACGTTCAACTTAATCAAAACCTAGAATTAGGCTGATTAATGAAATAGTCATGGATCTCATCATTTGCAACAATCTTGATTCCTTATTACGTTCGATACGATTCTAAAATTATTTGAAATTAAGGAGTAATAATTGAGATGATTTAATTTGTGTTTAATTAATTTATATTTAGTCACGAAACGATCACACTCTTCTCAATATTCAATGTATTTTTTTTAAACAAAATAATTGATTAAGAAGTATTTATAACGTCTTCTTTAGATAATAATAACATTATTTTAGGAATAACGACTATTTCTTTTTAGGCTGAAATTAAAGATTAAGGACATAAAGGCATATTAATTAATAATATTAGTTGACGATGCATGACATGATTTTATGCCCAAAGAGACAATTTTGAGCAGAACAAAATTTTTTTAGAAAGATAAAATAAAAAATTATTTTTCTGGATAATCAAAATAAAAGGGCATTTATTTCTTGTTTCTTCCATTCCTTCTAGTCTAAAAAGGTTATCAATGCCAGATGACGTACAAGAAAATATAAGTCATAAAACCAAACACAAGAATAGAGTGGATCATTTTTTAAAAATCTTTTTCCCCCCTTTACTCGGGCAACTAGATAGTTGAAATTCTTTTTTGATTTGAATTCGGGAAAAGAATGATTAACCATGGGCTGGCTGGGCTCAGGTTGGAGCAAACCTTCAGCCCAGCTGTGTTTTTTCCTTTTTGTGTGACCAAAGCATCTATTGAAGACAATTTTATTTAAGGTACTGTCAGGTACTAAATATGAACACCACTCCCAACGAGGATTCGAATTTTGATTTATCACATTATGAGAAACTAGTCTCTTCTACTAGATCCAACCCTTATTGGTTATGTTCAAGTGTAAGTTTTTATAACGTAATGGACCAATCCAAATTAAACTTGGCCCAGCAAAAATTAGATTCAATTCAACTTAATGGGAAAAAAAACCAATGAGAATTAGGTCTATCAGAAAGAACTAGTCTCTCATAATATAATGAACTAATGTTTGAATTCTTGTAAAAAAATGTGCTCACATTTAGTGCCCAATAAGGTCTCAAATATGATTACTCCCATAAAAGAATAAATGTGGTCAGCATAAGAAAACAAGAAAACCAAAGAGGGAGGGGGGTGGGAGTGGGGACGCTGTATATAAGTGAGCAAAGAAGAATTAGATTCATGACACTTGTAAAAGAGCTTTCATGCAGCAAAGTCACTCATGAATAATCGAATAGGACAGTTTGTAACTGAATAGAATAAAAACCTCCATGTAAGTTGGAAGTTACAAGTTCAGTCCCGCTTATTATCTCAATACTTAGGGAGTGTTTGGCAACCACAAAAAGTATTTCTCAGAAGCACTTTTCCGCAAAATGAGACAAACTCCTCTGCATATTTACTTCGTAAACCGTAAAAGTACTTCTGAAACCATGGTTTGGTTTCTATCCAAACACCCCCTTATTCTTCTAATTCAAAACACAATAATTGAATATTTTCACAAAAAAAAAACACAATAATTGAATATAAGTTTTAGTGGCGTGACATATTCATTATTCAACAGGAAGAAACATTTTAGGAAAAATTACCATGAGGTGGTAAGGAAAAAATTTAATTAGTAAGAAATTTTTTTGTTATTTCTTACTTAGAAACTTATCATTATATGCTCTTCAATTAATGGACTTTAGGGGATTAAATCTCTCATTGGAACCTAATTGCGATTCACCCGAGCATGAATTCAAACTTCTAGATGGAGCGAAAGCAATCTAAGGACGTCAATGTATCAAGCGTTCGAGGTATCTTAATTTAGAATTTCTATCTTATTTTTTTGGGTTTCTGGCAAAAAAAAATTTATTCTTTTGGGTTGGGGTCAAATCTAGGAAATCGCGCCAATGCCAGTAATGGACTTACCGCCTGCAACCCAGACCGGCCCAGACGGCCAGTCAGGTCACAACTCACAATCCAGATTGGGTTGATTTGTCGCGTTGGACGGATCAATGCACAATTGCACAGTTTATGCTACTTGCCGGCTCATATAAATACTAATTACTCCCTCCGTTTCTTATTATAAGAGACAAATAACCAAATTATGTTGTTCAAAAAAACAGTTAAAATTAGTTAAGAACAATCAATATATAAAAAGTATAATTTTTTTTTCTAAAATATCCTCATTAATAAGGAGAGAGAGCAATGGTAAATTATTTAAAAAAAGAGAAGTGGGAAGGAGAGAGAGTGTGAGTTGGAGACCATAAATATGGATAAAATACGAAATCAATACAAAAAAATAGAGACAACTTTTAAGTGTCTCTTATAGATAGGATCATGCTATAAGCATCAAATGATGTCTCTTGAGGAGGGAACGGAGGGAGTATTATTTACACACGGAATCGATACAGAATTATCGATGAATTATTGCAACAAGTTATCTTATAATGCGTATAATGATTTAAGTAACATGCATCGAATCGGATTCATCAACTCCTGTGCTCTGTACCAGCCGTGCTTTCCAGTTTGGAGTGGTGGCTGTAGCAGAAAACGAGGCGAGTCATGAACTGGTTTACTCGCAATCTTACATGGACTTCCAGAAAGACCGAAGCCTCAAATCCTCAGTCACAATCAAACTCCAAAGAGGAGGACGAAGACCAATTGTATGGGGTTACTGAGGATTTGATCAATTACACCAAGTCCTTCACGATTGATACATTTAAAAATTTCCCTCTCCAAGGTAAGCTTATTCTTTCTATCAGTATTCTCTGCCCAGTATTTTAGTTCCCAAATTCAGAAAATTTGAGAGAAATTATGAGGGGTTATTGACCATCTTTAGATTTCCAGTTGGGTAATGATGTATTATGGTCGATTCAGTACACAAGGCTGTCAATTTCGATAATTTCCGCTATCTAGATCGCCAACGAGAAAAATTTCTTTGATCTCCTTGTTGAGTATTACTGGCTTGCTTGGCTGTATAAAGAAAGGGAAACATTGGAGATTTAATAGTATCAATTTTCTGACGGTATAAATATGTTGTTTGTTAAACAAATGAATTGATGTAGCATGGCATTCCTAATAGAGAATCCTGTGATGATATTTATATTTTTCGTCTACTGATTGTATGTTGTCCAGATGAAGATGAAGCCACTAATGCTCAAGACACTTTAACGAATTCAGCCAGGATTAGGAACGATCTCTCTCAGTGGCAGGAGAGACATGCCACCCTCATACTCTCAAGAGTGAAGGTTTGTTTTCTCTTGTTCCTTGTGTTGTCGAGGTCTCTTTGTAATATTCTTGCTCATGATGCTGTACAATCAAATAGTGAATAATGTCGTTCATATGTAGAAAGAGTGGAATGGAAAGTTGGATTTTTCATCCGAATCCTATGTATTACAGTGTGATTTTAACAGCCCTTTACCTTGCAAATTTGATTCATGGAAGCGTCAATGCTGTGCTAGTCAACCAACATGGTTACAGGGCACAGGTCTGTCATTTAGACTGGCTTGAAGGCCAAGTATAATTATTAGCTCTGAGCTGCACTTCCTTGGCACTACTTGCCATTGCCATTGCCATGTATTTAAGCTGCCTTGATATCTATGATAGCATTCTTTGATATGATAGAGTTTCCCCCCACACACTCTTAAAAACCCTCCCTAAATTTCCTTCATAAACATCATTGTTGTTATATTCACGTGTCTGCTGATGACAAGTAGCAGACAAGACAAATATACATCTACAACGTGTTCTTTTTCTTACATGATTACCTTTGGCACAAATTATAGACCATTTGCGGGTAAAAGAGTAATTGAGCAAACATCCTCAGATTTTTCACGTTCTGCCGCAAAACGCAATTTGTGCCCTACACCGTTAGACTCAACCGCAGGCATCATTTTGGACCATGCCTTCAATAGGATGCTGAGCAGCAAATAAGGCAATCTTGTGCCACTGTAATAATCTGGTTTCTGGTTTTCTATTCTTGTTTGTGTTTTTCAACGTTGTTCAGGAGAAAAAGGTAGCAGAAAAAATGTCAACTTTTTCTTTACATCTTTGTTAATGGGATGGTGCGCAGATGGAGGATAGAAAATTAATATTTCTAATTTTCGATTTTCATGCTGAGATTGAAGTTCAGTTTACAATTATAATTATATGTTGATAGGATGGTCCAATTATGTTTTACTCCTCACATCCATTTGTGCATTGGTTAACAGGTTAATAGGTAACACACAGAAAATCACTCCAAATGATACCAATCGTTGAAAATAGTTAACAGCTGCTTCAATATAGGATACACTTAGGTTGAGTTCTTTGGATGCTTGCTTTGAGATTTTCTTATGAAAATGTTAGCACGAAGATTTGTTACTAATCATCATCTCATTGATTGTTGTAAAATAAAATATATAAAAAATCCCATGTCATAAAGTTATTGAGAAATCTCGCAATAAACACCTCCAAATTGCATCCAATTTCCTTAATTCTTTTACAGGAACTCTCTCAAATTAGATATAAGCTCTGCCCTGGCCGTTTGAAGGACAATCAATTCTGGAGCATATATTTTAAGCTTGTGAGGAGCCATGTAATCGAGTAAGTTCTGCAAATTTCTTGGAGGATATTTATATGATAGCATTTAGAGTTTATTATAACTTGAGCCCTCTGCATCACCAATTAAGTGAAAAAACCTGAGGCATCCACATCAATGATAGGAGATCTCTTTTACTGTCAATCAGATACGAGCTACGGGCAATACAACGGGAGAAACTAAAAAGGATGGCAGTGGAGGAAGAGCAATCTTTGGATAATAATGCAATCGAAGTTGAAATGTCAGAAACAAAGCATGGATCAATGATAGAAAGTCCACACTCATAGAAGGCAACCTTGACTTTTGCTTGCTACCATGAATAGATTAGGTGAGCATCAAATGTTTTTACTAAATCAATAGAACGAAGGATTGGTACTTCAAAAACTAAATTGTACTTGTCCGATAAGTATTAGATGCAATGCAGCACTTCAAATTACTCGATTATTTTGCTTCTCTTTGATTGTTGGTTGGAAGGTTATGCGCCCAAGGGGACTGTTGGTTGAGGAAGAAGCGGAATGATTATTCACGAGTAGGTTTCACTTGTGGCCTTCTGGTTATAACCCACATTGAGTTATTCCAGCTGGCTACGGGATCGAATCCGCAGTATCACTTGAAATACGGGAATTCTAAAGAGCAGGTTCCATCAGGTAGGTATTTCAGTTGTTTCTGGCTTATGATTTCCGCATAGTTAATGAAAGGTGCGTGATACCGAGCTGAACTGTTTCTCTTTGAGAACTTGCCACAAGTTCATACATGGTGCACCAGCGGGCTCGAATGGGTTGAACAACTTGTATCGACCCGCATTATCAGCTCTTTTGTGTATTAATGTTCATATTTGACATTAACATATCTACAACAATGTACCCATCAAAGTCCTTGTAACTTGGTAGTTGGTAGTATTGATGCTCTCGTGTTAGTAACAGGTTGTAGGTTCAATCCTAGTTGTAACTTGTACTGTTAGTAACAATGCCTGCCCCTTTAATTCAAAAAAAAAAAAAGACAATGTACCCAAAAAAACATATAGACAGCAATAATAGATCTTATTATAACTAGGCTACATGAATTGGACAACATGTATTAGATGGTGACTTAAGGATGCACCATAAAACATTTCATGTTTGGGTACACAAGGGAAAAAAAGAAGACTTTTTATACTTCATGAGATAATTTTTTTCATACATTTATCTCACATTTGGGGGGAAATTTCCTAACACATTTTGCAATGCGCTAGTAACACCTTGCCAGGTTAGGATAAGATCCAAGTAATGTGCTCGTAAGCACAAATGATAACAAGAAGTGGTGGTACTCTTAGCTATCAAATCAACTGATCATGAATGAAAAGAAAAATTCGTAACGTCCTTCTAAGCTATTGATAACAAACGACCATAACATGCGGGATTGGACAGAGACCTGGGATGTGGATGTCCAAGCGATTTTCATTCTATTAAAAATTATTATTTAGAAAAATCTATGTGAAAACTTATATTTTATAAAATTTTAAAGAAAATATTTTTAAAGTAATTTTCTTTTGCAAGAATAAAAATCAATGAGAACATTCAGAGTTTGAAAAAGGTTATACTATTCATAAATTGAGCTTAAAATAAAATTAATTACTACGTTTTTATGATATAAATGTAGATTGTTTGTTTATATTTTTTAAAATTACTTACAATTTAAACTCTCCTCTAAGGTTTTTTTTGTGGAAGAATTTACTATTATTTCAAGAAAGTGATATTTTAAAAAATTAATTTATACTATGGTACTTCTGACGCTTAATATAAGAGTTGGTTTGACTTTTAATTTGGTCTTAAATATAAGACTTTAATTCATTTTATTTTTCATATTTATTTTTTTTTTCAAAATAGTCTTTGTAATAGTTACATATATTAAATATTTTATTAAATAATAATTTTAACTAATACAAATGACCAGCAAAAACATTTTAAAAAATACAATACATATTTATTACAAATATGGGTACTCAATTTGGTCCTGTCCTTGTCCCAAAAAATTTTGGGACAGGACGTTCGATAGGGCCATCCAGTCTCAATCCAGTCTCGAAATATTTATTTTTTTAATTTATTTTTTATTATTTGATGTATTATGTTTTTATTATAATATATAGATATTAGAAATATTCTTTATATATCTTTTTTTAGTAGATCTTTAATACTATTTCCGGTCCTCATTATAAGAACTAGTTGATTAATTTGAGGAGATTAAAAAAACAAATTAAGTTAGTTATTTATAATAAATAGTTGTTGTCTTTCCTAAAATATCCTTGCTAATCAAGTGTATTAGTTAGAACTATCATTATTAAAAGGATTATCTTAGAAAAAAATATATAAATATTAGAGACAAAGTGGATGGAAGTCTTATATTTTTTACCAAAATAAAAGTCAAACAGGGTCTTATATTAAGGACCGGAGGTAATATATCTTTAATATGAAAGATATTATCAGTTTGTATTAAAAAAAATCGAAGATACTATCAGAGTAAATAGGAACAGCTCTGTTCTTCTTGTTCTCAGTTTTCTCTATCGCACCAATCTACTTTGGCTCCTCAGCCACTTGCATCATCGCATCATTCTCTGGCCACCAGTTTGCGCTGGTTCTTTTGTTCTTTCAAATGTGTGCTCGACGTCCCGGGATAGGACACTTTCGGGATGGGATGGAACAAAGATGGACTTGGTGTTTTTGGTACAGGACACAAGACGAGGTGTTTTTGGTACAGGGTGGGATGAGGTGTTCAGTCGGTTCAATCTGCCAAAGTGTCAATACTTTTATATATAATTAATTTAATTAATTTTTGGGAAAATGACACATAAAGAAGTCTGAAAATGTGAAATGTCAAAATAGAAAGCTTAGCAAGTGTATTGACAAATAGGGAAGTGTTGCCTGATCTGGCATTATGCAAATAGTGAGCAATTACCAAAAAGCCCTTCTGTCAATCAAAGTTTGAAAACACAGAGAGAGAGGCGCGAACTGCCACTCATGCTTTCGGCTTCTCGCTTCCACCATCCTCGTTGCTGCCTTAAAAACACTAGCAAGTTGGATAGTTGATGACCCCGAAATAGTGTGTGTAAAAAAGTAGAGGAGTTTGAAGTGGAAGGGTGTGCTGTTTGAAGGGCGAATGTGGTCACGTCTATCTGACTGTATAGAAGGATGAAGGTTGGCGCTCGGTGATTCACTATTGCAGTTAACAAGCATCAGCGGTATTTTACTGAGGTAAGTTTAGGCATTTAAGTTTCATCTCATGGTCGACGTTTCTGGGTGAATAGGGGAAGCAATAATTAGGCAATATTTAGATATGACGCGATGAAATTTGTGAGTGACAGGAATGGTAATTAAGGGTTTATGCTGAGTCTCTATGGCATGCTATTTGTTTTTTTATAACGAAATTGAGAATTGTGACGTTAGGAAAAAATGGGTTTTCAAATCAGTAGGAAAATTGTCTGATTGATTGAAAAGATTATATGAATGAACTGGAAATGACAATAACATACTGGTAAATGACTATGAAGGAACTTGAAATGACTATATTCATAGTAATAACCTTATTGTCTAATTGACTAGAAAGATTATATGAACTAATAGGAAATGACAATAACATACTGGTAAATGACCATGAAAGAACTGGAAATGACCATATTTATAATAGTGACCTTACTGTCTGATTGATTGGAAAGATTATATGAACGAATTAGAAATGACAATAACATAGTGGTAAATGACTATGAAGGAACTTGAAATGACCATATTCATAGTAATGACCTTACTGTCTAATTGACTGAAAAGATTATATGAACGAATTGGAAATGATAATAATATACTGGTAAATGACTATGAAGGAACTTGAAATGACCATATTCATAGTAATGACCTTACTGTCTAATTGACTGAAAAGATTATATGAACGAATTGGAAATGATAATAATATACTGGTAAATGACTATGAAGGAACTTGAAATGACCATATTCATAGTAATGACCTTACTATCAAACTGTAATAGCCATATTGGTAATGACAATGAATTAATTGGAAATGACCATATTCATTGTAATGACTTTACTATCAATTTGTAATGACTATTGGTAATGACAATGAATTAATTAGAAATGACCATATTCATAATAATGACCTTACTGTCAGTCTGTAATGGCCATATTGGTAATGACAGTGAATTATTTGGAAACGACCATCATCATCAACTTACACGACCAGATTAGGGTTTGACACATTCATGCTTATAATTTGCAACAAAACACTCATTTTTTCCTGTCCACACTAATGTTTCATTTTCTTAGAATCAATCCACTCCATCATTCGAATCTCCCTTTAACATTATGCCTTTATCTAATACTAATCATTCTGACCTATTTGTGACACCATCAAATCCCTCCCTCAGTGTTTTTGCTTCCCCATGCATTCACCCTTTGATCACCGTCCTTCCTCACAGTTTCTATATACCCACACCATCTCCCTGCTTTGCCACCCTCTCAACCTCAAAATTAGCCCCACATCAATGACATTGTCATCCAATAGGAAGAGGAACATCAACCAGTGCATAAAGGAGACGGAAAAAAGAGAGAGAAGAACAATATAGTCACTGAATACTAACCTCATTTGCTTACTTCATTCAACTCTTGCTTCACACATTCATGCTGCCATGTTCATGGTTCCTTCAAACTTTTTCCTCTAGCTCCCATCACAACTTTCACCGCTCCACCAGTCATTTTTCCTATTTGGGCCATGAAGGGTTTTTTGATAATTGCTCAACATTTGCATAATCTCCAACCAGGCAACACTTTTCTATTTGTCAATATATTTGCTAAGCTTCTTATTTTGGCATTTCATATTTTCAGGTTTTTTTATGTGTCATTTTCCCTTAATTTTTTAAAAATTAGTTTAGAAATAAAGATAAATAATAATTTTGATAAAAAATATCCAGGATTTTTTGCTTTTGGAGAAGAAATTGTTGTCTTAATTTTTTTAAACCCTAAACCCGGACGGCTTCGTCTTCGTTAGGGGATAGGATGTCCATTAGCCTGTGGCCTGTGGCCTATATTAACCATCAGAACAGGCTCAGGCCTGTGAAATGGCCTGTTTATCTTATCAGGCCAGGCTCAGGCCTGATAATCAGCCTTTTAAGCCTGTTAGGCGGCCTGAGCCTTTTTTTTTTTTTTCCCTTAGGATTAAAATTGTAATTTTATAGGGGTGAGAAATTTACCCTAAGTCACTCGGTCTCCCCGCTGCCGTCCCCCGTCTCTTCTTCAATCTTCAGTTCTTCGGCTTTGGACGGTCCCATTTCATTTTCGGCTCTACAGACTACGCTTCATCCTTCCAGCCCAAACAGCGTACAGTGGAAGTTCCAGGCTTCTCTACTCTCTGGTCGGCGCTCGGCAACAGAAAATAGCAGACGGCAGAACTCAGAAGGTAGTCGACGGCGGCGCACGGGCTGATAGCGGCACATTCAGGTACCCACTAGCTAATCGCACACGCTTCCCTTCCTCCCTTCTTCTTCCATTTTGTTCTTCGGTTGATCGCTGCGTTTTTGATTCCATCATAGATATAAATCTGCTGCCTCTGCATTTTCGATTCCGTTTGAGCTTCTTCCTCCGGTTTGAGCTTCTTCTCAACGCTTCTTGGTCGGTACGTCGTAGCCAGCTCCGCCTGCTCTCATCTCAGCCACACCTCTGTGAGTTCCTCGCCATCTTTCTTCTGTCCTCTTCTTTTTTTTCACCATCGCAGCTCTCAATTTAATGGTCATGACAAATAGTTCGATGCATTGTATAGATAGATGCAGATGTTTAATGTATGATGGGATTTTTCTTGAATTAAAATCCTTCTCCTATACACTATCTCCTTTCCGTACCTGTTAGCGCTCATGTTTTCTCTTTATTAGCGATTTAATGTTACTCTCATTGGAGCTTCCCATAGTGATTTCAATTTTGCATATTACCACCGACAGATCCCCCTTCTTCGGCAGAGTTCGGCGTTCTTATCTACTGTTCGATATTTAGCTTCTTCCCCGTCCGACATTCGCGTCTGTCGTTCATGCGTCGTCCGTCTTTGCCTTTCTTCCTCTCCCTATCACCGTATTTCATCGTCGTTCCTTGCTCTTGGCCGTTCGTGCTCTTTGGAGTGTTTGCAAAAAGTGAGTTCCGGATAGTTCCTTTCAACTCTCCGCTGATCTTTCATTCTCCCTTGGTTTGAGAGTACCGATCGCAATGTGTTCTATTGGTTATTGTTGTGATGAAAATAAGAACCTGTTTAATATTTTTATTCAATGGACAAGGGATGGTGAGTTGAATGTTATAAATTTTATCGTCTTCTTTTCTCTTTGCAATGAAGCTTAGTAGATTTGTTAATTTTTTTTGTTTAATGCTTTGGGAAGTTATACTATACCACTTGCCTTCCTTCTTGACTTATTTGCCCAGTAAGAATTGATCTTTCTTTATATGTGTTTTAACTGAGAGAAATGTGCTTACTGGGATCTCATCTTATTATTTGTTATGTATATGGTTTTAAACATGTAAAACACTCAAGATTTTGCTCTACAACTCAAGCCAGCAGGAAGTGAAATTGCACTGGTTTGAAGTAAAGGCACACTTGTGATGCATACCTTTATGCTTGTACACAGTTTCGGCCTAATTTCTGTCTTCCGCGTGCTGGTAATTTGTGTTTGATTAGCTAAAAGCAATTGAAAATGGAAGCAGATGTTGATCATCCATGATATTATGGTAAATGGCCTGGGGAGAAGGAAGATCCTGTTCTATTATTAGAGAGTGAAAGAAAACTAGAAAAGGGGCACAGAGGATTTAGTCGACAACAAGGTGGAGTAGAAGTGAGATGGAGTGTTCAAATATTGAGTGTGACTTATTCATGATGACTTGGAGCTTTTTGATGTTATTGACTATCTTGATGATGGCAAAAATAGAGAAGGGGGCGATTATAGGGATTGTAATAGTACTCTTGGAGATGGGGAGCCACCAATAGCTGGTATAGACTTTATAGGCTATTTTGTCGGTGTTTGATAAACACTATTTATATGATATTGGAATATCATACGTCTGCAAGTTATAAATTTGTTGAATCTAGTGCTTAAGCTTAACTTTTAATGCCAGTGGTTGTATCATGTATGCATATATAGATTTAATGGAGACTTCATTTAGTATGTAAAAGTGGTGGTTTTAGCCTTCATTGCACAGAATGTCAGATGCTTTACATTAAAATCTCTGTCTCGATTCCCTTGCATTCGTGGTTTACTATTGGTAGCATTTGCATTTCACGTTCTTCTATCATAATGCTTCAAGATATCCTTTTTCCACTTTCATATACACAAACGTACATATCCTTATTTTTTGTTGTGGTAGCAATTCTCATGTACACTGATGTTTTCTAGATTAATTTTCTGCACACATGATGTTTATAGCTTTAGTTTAACTTGTCCATTTCCATGTATGTACTTTTAATGATACCTCTGGATCTGGCTGTAAGAGTAGCTGTTTCATTTGCCTTTAAATAATAGGATGCTTGAAATGGTGGTTACTTATGCAATGATCTTATATGATCAATGACAGAACATCATTGAAAGAGGGGCATGGCAACAAAACCAAAAGAGGAAAAGAAGCAAGCAACAAATTCAACACCTGTCCAGAAAACTGATGAGGACCATGTAGCTGCAGGTCCTTCTGCTGGTTTGATGGAAACTTTAGAAAATCAGTATCACAAAATTAAAGAGCACGCGGAAACGTATCCTTATGTGTGGGGTTCCTATATTGTTGTATATGGTGGCTTTGGTCTCTGGACTGCCTACCGATGGAGAAAGCTTCGCAAAACTGAGGACAGAGTTCGAGGTCTTCAGGCAAGGCTTAAGCAGCTTGTTGAAGCTCAGGAATCTTCTGCTACTTCTGCCATGGCTGAGAAGGCTCCGTCTTCTTCTGAAAAGCCTGCTAGGTAGCCTGCAATATCACCCTTAAATAGTTAACTGCCAACTACGTTATATTTCCATGATCATTGGGGATGCCTCATTGTAAAAGAATTTTGTTTTTGTCTAACTACATCAGCTGATTCTTTTCCCTATGGACTACACTAGAAGATCTGAATTTACAATAATATCTCATAAGTTGCTCTTTAACCTTCTGTGACGATTATTCGGCACAATTGTTTGTAGCATTTCACCATGTACTGTAATTTGTTCAAGGGGAATTAATTTTGGTAGGCAGCATATTTCAGCTGTGAACTTGTATAGTGCATGTTTTCTGCTATATAACTGAAATTTGGTTATCAGTTCAAATTCATTTGGGTTGGTTTATCGAGCATGTTGACTAATTGGTGTTGATATGATATTTGAAATTATTTGAAAAAGAATAGTGACCCTTATGCCTACGAGGTTATTGCCTCGAATATTCATAATCACACGGTAAAGTCTCTACCATTCGTGACAGGAGAAGATGCAGATATTTCATATTGAATTGACATAAAAAGGATATCATTATTAATATTTATCTTGTTTTATATTCGGTTAGGATAATTCAAGAACAATAAAAATATGGGGGATAAATATGATATGATTAAAAATTAAGAGACCGAAATTAAATGGCAATCATTGAGCGCAAGTTAGACAAGATTCGAAAGCGGGTGCTAGGTTTCCAGGTTGAAGACACTGTATATGGATCAGCACTTAGAGAACTTTGGTTGGATTTGCAAAAACGACTTTGGTTAGATTTGAGTTTAATGCAACTTTTGTTGGGGATTTTTTTTTTTTTTTTACACCATGCAGTTGTTGAAAAAGACAAGTATTGTCATGTAGTATTAACATTAGTAATACATGAGTGTTGGCCCTCATTGAAGCAATTATAGACACGAGGTCTAGATTGACTCTGCATGAACACATTACAGATCACACTAATTTATAGTGTTAATTGCTAATGTCATATCTATCTTTTTAAGTATTTGAATGTAATGGGATCATATCTGAGAATTGCCTCACTTAAACGAAAGAGAATATCAGATATTAAAAAAAATTTGAGAAACTGGATTGCAATTAATTAATTAAAAGACATTCGTTGAATTTTTGTGCAGTTCGGACGAGCAATAGTGAGATAGTCGAGATACGAAAACGCAATGCTAAATTTCCAGGTTAAAGCCCACACAAAGATTGCAGTTCTTGACATTGAATCCTCTACTTCACGAAGGTTCATTCCTACGCCTAATTATGAACAAACAAGTAAAGAAATTACATTAACTACAAAAGCCTACATCTAGATAAACCCCCACAAATTCCAAGTCCCAATGGACATCAGATCCTTCCCTTTTTCCTGATGAGGTAGGGCTTCCTTCAATTATCTTGTTGGTTAGCAATTAGAAGTAAACCTACATGTTGCTAAGTTACATCTTTTAAGCTCATCTTGAAATCCATAGATGGGAAAATTACATCAAAGACAATGCAGATTTTGTAAATTCTAAATCAAAAGATTTTGAAAACTATAATTACTTTTAGAAAAAACTCAAAACATTATCAAATTTTAAGAAAGTTACCCTTCAATCTTATGTACATTATAATTTTGATTGACTTTAGCAGTAACTTCCCCAAAATTTAATAATAATTTTAGTTTTCAATAATGATTATAGTTTTAAGATTATTTAATCTAAAATTTACAAATCCCATTTCTTAGAGCAATTTTCCCTCTACGCAAGCCCCAATAGGCTTGGTCTAGTGAAGTACTTGGACCCACTCATACCGACCTGGGAGAGGTACATCATTCACAACGTCAAAGTTATACCTGCAAAATAGAACCCATATTACTTACTTTCATAATTACATAAGACAAAACTTGAAAGGGAGAAACAGCAAATAAAAAGAAAAGAAAAATAGTATGCAACTATAATTAGTACATTAAATTTATGCCATAGGATAAAGATTGCTTCTTGTCAAGAAACTGTTTTTCCTTTTAAATAAAGTGATTGCAGATTTTTTTTTTTGGCCGAAGTGATTGAAGATTTGAAGTCGTAATTTGAAGGATAAAACGTAACTCTCCAAAAGAAGTGGGTTTCTTTTTTTTTTTTGGGGGGGGGGGGGTAGTGATAAAGGCAGAATACTTCTCCATAAAGATTCTGTGTTGCTGCTTCTCTGCAAAAGCAAAGAACTCTTCCATCTCGTAAGCCGTTGGAATATTCCTTGGCACGTGTTCGCATGCAATCTGCTTTGTGGTTGATGCAGGGGTGCTCATAGTATTAGAGTCCCATGTTAAACTACAAGGAGGGCTATCCCCTGTACTCCTGTTTAACCACACAAAAAAATGCCAACCAAAAATCAGTGCCTAAAATGCTAAAAGAAAAAAAGCCCAGTCAACAAAATAGGAAGAGAAAAAGATTAAAGTGCTTCCAGCAACTTTTAATGTTGGAAGTTACTTGACCTTCTCTTCCTCATTGTTGTGTAATTCTTTTCTTTGCTAAATACAGGGATTTAAATTAGTTAAACATGACTTGCTTATAAATAAAACTATTGGCCTAGAGAATCCAAAAGTTTCTGCACCAGAAATCTGTGTGATGCTAGCTGACAGCATAACATGTCACTTGATATTTATGAGAATTGAAAAGTGAACATCTTTCCCCTACAAAATCTGTTCAAGTTGAAACTAAAGACAAGTAGCTATTCTAAAAAAGTATAGCTAGCATTTAATGGGACAGGGTCTGACACAGTGGGCTCAAACGTTAGAGAAAAGATACAGAGCAAGAGACGGCCAAAATCTTTCACATTCATTACAAACAACAAGGACAATCAAGGTGAAAAACATGATGGAATCACAACAGAAAGTCAGAAACAACTACCTAGATTTCTTTGACTAAATTATTGTTTTCAATTTTTGAAAAATATTAATATCTTTCCTTCGGTACTTCAAAACGCTAGTCTCCTAATTTAATCCTTCAAAAGTATGGTTAAAAATAATTGCAGGTTTGCAACACATTAATCAGTCCATTTCACTGGTTCCACTCCACTGGAAAAGATAAAACTTCCTTAGAAAGGATCAGGGAAGATGCAACTAGCAGCAATAAATAACCCTTCTGAGAACTGGACATTGTTGCAGAACCTCTCACAGGTCACAAATGCTAAAAATTTGACCGACCCTTGTGACACTGTCCCTTTCCTTCGTGCTCAGGTTACAAAGATTTTAGAATGCAGTAATCAAATGAAAGCGAAATAACATAAAACAAAATTTCAGACTGAGACCACACATCAGACACACAAAAAAAGTCATGGTAAGCCTTTATGCTAGTAAAATTAAACATTAATCTTCAAGAAATCATTTTCCCCTCTATTTATTGTTGTTTGTACTTTAGAATCTCAAGAAAAAAAGCCAATTAATGGCCAAAAAACATACACATAGAAAAGAAGAGAAAAAAATTACACGATATACACAAGAAATGGACAAGTAAATCTAGCGACTCTTCGCCTAGAAAGTCAGGAAGGAGTAAGCCTCAATTATCAAAAGCAGCATTAAAAAAAAAAAAAAAAAGAGTACAAACCTTCAGAGAAATTAGTGAAAGAAAACTCGGGAAAATGAAATTTCAAAGGCGAATTTAAGAAGCAATATAGTACCTGTCTTTATCTTCAACATCTGAGACATTTTCTCCGAACGAACTCTCAACACACATATCAACATCTTCCTCATCGTCAGTTCCCTTCGCAATTTCCCCGGCAAAATGCCCCTTCTCATTAATTAACGACACTGGTTTCACCGAACTTTCTCTCACCTTCGAATTCGCAATCATGCCACGACAATTAGAGTTAGGACTTCCTCTGCAACAGTTGCCGTGAGACTTCGGCGGTGACGGCGGTGGCTTCTTGCTGCCGACCATTACCTTCCGGAGGCGCCGGCTTCGGAGTTGGAGGTAGGAAAAGGAAGACCCATCAGCATCCATGGGTGAGGAAGACGAAGATGACTTGCAATGGCTCTGTAATGCAAGGGTTTTGGCTCTGGTACGAACGCCCAGTGAGGACTGAGTCGGAACCTTCACGACGGCAACATCACCTGCGATTTTCGATTTCTTCATGTACTTGCCCATAGTGAATCTCTGAGAGCAAAAAGTTTCATGCATGAAGAGGGTGAGAAGAATGATGCAGCGAAACAGCTTGATGTAAGTGTTGGCAGAGAGAGAGAGAGAGAGAGAGAGAGAGCGCACCTAATTCTGTGTCTTGAGAAAAGGTAGGGCAGGGGAAGATGGTGAGTTAGGGTTGGCGCCATACGGGGGGACAGGGGCCTCTATAAATATACAATAACTCTAATAGAACTATAAATATAAATATATTACAAGGAGACACCTTGGTATATTCCCTTTTTTTTAAAGGACCCTTCAATAAAAAACTTAAAAAAATAAAGGACAAAATAAATAAAAAAAGATACCACAACCAATTAAGGTTGAATTTAGCAGAAAAGGATTTATCATAATATAATAAATCAAAATTTAAATACTCGTTAAAATATGTGTCAATAGGATTTCAAATGGGATTGTTTTTAATTAAAAAAAACACATACCTCTAGGAGAAGAAGAAAGAAGGACACCTTGGATATTCTCTTTTTTTTTTTTTTTTCCCTTGCCAAGCCTTGGGATATTCTCTATGGGCAGAATATAAAGTTTGAGGTAAATTATATTATAATGTAGGAAATTCACAAACAAAATCCTGATATGAAAGTCATTTGTGAGTAAGTCCTCCTTTAATTTGCTTGATTTATTTTTTTGAAGTCAAAAAATGGATAAAAGCCCATTTTTTGTCCTTTAATTATTTCATGAGAAGCATCGGTTATTATAAACTATGTATTGAAATAATAACATTATTTTTCAATTGTCGAAATCGTTGTGATATCATCTCTTAGTTATTGGACATTGATAATTAACCATTAACTTGAAGTTAATTTTTATTCAGCTAAAAAAAAAACTTCAAGTTAATTTTTGATTAGAAAGTATTTTTACCCTTAAATTATTTATGGATGAGTATTTGACGCCTAAACTTTGTTGGCAAAAAAAACTGACATGGTAAAATTTAGAGGAAAAAGACATAAAAAATGATTTTTAAATTTCAAAATCCTCAAATGGTCACTTAAATAAGTAAAATTTCAGTTTAGGTATAAGTAACCAAATTGGAATTTACAAATTTGCTGAAATAACCATATTGCTTTTTTTTTTTTTAAAAAAAAAAAACCAAGCACCCTCAATGGCCAGCCAGTTGCCGAAGCTTCAGCGGTGCCTCTGGCCCCCGAAGTTAAGGTGGGTCACCGTCATTGGAGCTTTGGTAACTGGCCAATGACCTCCGGCGGCT